CTCCCGTTGTGCGGTGACGTTATTCCTGCCGCTGGGAAAATTTTCTATACCCTACCTTCACAAAGAATCATCCCAGGAGATTTGTAGTCTGGCTGATAGCTGTAGATAGGCTGGTAGTGTGATATACAAATAACAAACAGCATCTGGATAATCTCTTGTCTACTAAAATAGGAGAATACCCACGATAAAAGAACCCGACTGAGCCGCCGCGTAGATCACGCGAGCGCAACACCACTGAACCAAGTACTGTAACTACCAAAACCGTAAAACTGACTGGCCGGACGCTCGGGATTCCTCGCCTTCTTTTTTCTTTCCATCCGTCGCCCTTTTCATCTTTTCCCTTCATTCCGGCTTATCGGCGCATCAACCCTTCCTCGCCCCTCTCCCTTCTTTCTCACTCTCACTCCACACTCACACATCTTCTACCTTCGACGGCGATACCTCCGCACTCCCGTCTAATCCTCATATACGTCTCGATATCCCTTTGTGTCCTATTGTCGATTATCCCACATTTTCCCCATGTCGCCGCCTCCGCTGAAATAAAACCCAACCCATCATTGAATGACCCGCGATGGCGTTCAACTTCAACTGGTCGCCGTTAATGGCGGACGCGAGCTTCTACACTCGCGCTCAGGAGCTACTCACTGCCGCCTTGAATAAATCGCCAAAACCGCCGATTATCGTGGACGATATCCATGTCACCGAACTCAATCTCGGCTCTATCCCGCCCGAGCTGGAGATCTTGGAAATCGGAGACCTGGCCGAGGATCGCTTTAGAGGCATCTTTAAGATGTCCTATACGGGCGACGCCTTTCTGACTCTGAAAACCCGCGTCCAAGCAAATCCGCTCAATACCTATCTTCTCACCCGACCGTCCTTTGCGACTCCCTTGCCGGTCGCTGCAGCGTATGTGTTGTTGGATTTCCCTAATACGCAGCCAAGCGCATCCTTGCTGACCTGATCGCGACAAATTGCAGAACTCCGTTGACTATTCCCCTTCAAATCACCCTTTCCGATTTCAAACTTTCCGGCTTCGTTATATTAGTCTTCTCGAAGCAAAAAGGCATCACAGTTGTCTTCCGAAATGACCCCCTTGAGTCACTCAAGGTGTCGTCGACCTTCGACTCGATCCCCTTTGTGCGCGACTTTCTACAGCGAGAAATAGAAGGCCAGCTTCGCGTTTTGTTTATGGATGAGTTGCCCGCCATCATTCATCGCCTGTCTCTCCGATTATGGGTTCCAGAATACCGGGCTGGAGAGGAAATGGCTAATCGCGCTACCAACACCGCGGGTGAAGGACCTGGCCAGGATCCTCTGGCGAGTCCTCCGCAGGATCCCGTGGATGCTCAGGGCAACGCTTTGGATGAATCAGAGATCGCTTCGCTTTCGTTGGATTCCTCGGTCGAGACGCACTCCTTGTTTTCACAGAAGAACTTGCTCCGTTTGGCCGCCCTTACGGACTCCCAGCGAACGCTATCACTGTTCACTCCGTCTATTCAAGAAGTGGTCTACCGCGCATGGACTTCGCCTTCTGACGCGGGCGAAGTTTCGGGTGGCGTAATGTCTCCCTTGAGCCCTGCACTTTCCCGGACACATTCCCAGGTTGGCGGAATGTCCTCCTTCCAGGATACAGCCAGCATGGTATCTTCACAGACGCGGTCTTCGACGAATACCCACACTTTCAGCAGCTACGGTCTGAGCTTGGGAGCTGGCCGCCATTCGAAATCCAATGCTCGCAGGCGGAAGAAGCGTGTGGTGGACCTGCGTCGTCCCAAGGCTCCAGAGGATGCCGCAAGTGTGAGCGGCGATAGCACCTACACCGAGACCACCAGTGCACCGTCTGTCTGCTCGGCACCTTTGCCGGTGGTCAGCGAACAGACCGATGACCCAGTGACTCCCCCGCTGTCTCCGAACAGTGAACTACACCTTCCCACCGTTCCCGAACGACACCGCTTGAGTATTTCCAGGCAGATGCCCCGCCGCGATATCGCGACTGAAATGTTGCGTGAGACCGGAGAGTCGTCGGCTCAGCCGGTCAACCATTCGGCGGTTGATGTTGACGCTACTCCGCGGGTGGCTGTACACCCCTATATTCCTGCTCAACATGACAACGAGAAGGGAGAAGCAAGCGCCTCGCGCCAGCTTCCTTCCAAGGCACTCCCATTCTCCGATACCAAGCCGACATCCAGCATCGTTGACCAAGCGCTGGTGGAACGACTGGCCGGAGAAATTGCTCGTCGCATGCGGGAGGAGAAATTGACTCCCGGCAATTCTTGCAGTTCGTTCTGGGATCGTCTCAGCCATGATGATGCCCCTCCGGCGTACGGTCAGTGACTAGTACAGCCTTGTGGGCGTCTTTGTACTCTTTTATCTTCACCTATTCTTTTCTCCACGGCTAGGATGCTCATACCCGTGCAATCCTCCCAGCTTCAGCGAGTCTGGAGCATTTCATGACCGATACGACACTGCATTTAATCTTGACTGTGCTTTACTGTGTTTTAATTGTTTCCAAGCGGGCTTTAGAACTTTGTACATTGATTGGACTGTACTCATAAAAGAATCTGGCGTGTTTTTTTTTCTTTCTTTCTGATTTTTGACCTGCGTGAGCGATCTGTTTCTGAGGGATACCACTTCGCTCGCTGAACTCTCTTTGACTGTGATTTCCTACTCTACTCTCCTTTGTCCATTCTTTCTCTTTACTGATATTTTTATGTTTGATTTGGGATTCGGAAGCTGGAAGCACGCAACCGATGGAGGAGTCAAAAGAATGACTGGCAAATCTGGGCTTAGTTTTGCCTTGCTGAATTGCCGTAGAGTTTCGAGCAATGCTACTGTATATTTTTTCTGATGAAATTGCGATAGCACGTATTCTCGCTTTGAAGCAAAATCACGATCGTAATAAGGAATAGTCATAATCCTCCGAAATCCCCACGATCTAAGCGTTCTCCTTATCTTTTGAGGGTTTGACGCCAGAGCGGTCGGCTCCACCGTGGCTCCGATCGGTTTGCGACGAACGTCAACCATTTAACTCAACCTGACGCCCGTTCGCTTCCCTCTCCTTCCCTTCCTTCCTCCGCCACGTCGCCAGTTTCCCTGCCCGTCCGTTCCCCAGTCCGTCCAATTCCCCATTCCTCATCATGGCGGGCCTGTTCAAGAACGTCTTTGGCGGTTCCCAGCCCTCGAACCCAGCCAAGGTTGACGATGGTGAGTCTCACAACACGCACACCCCAAACCCCAGCTTTTGCCTCGAGCTCTGTACCCCAGGAAAATAAAACCTTCCCCAGACCACCTTCAATTGCTCTCCCAGCTCTAGCTCACCGTAACAAACACTTCTCTAATCACTATTTTCAATGCAGATTTCGCCGACTTCGTCGAAGCTCCGGAGCCCTCCCCGGCCTCCCTCGTCGCCGGGTCCTCATCCATCCCAGCCGTGAACACCCAAGGCGTCACCCCAGTCCCCTACACCAAATGGTACCGGGTATGGGAGCGGACCTCGCCGCGAGACTTCATGCAAGAAGCGACTGTGATGCCCATCATCCTCCTAATCATCCTCTTCCACTTCTGGGGCACGCGCAAGAACCGCCGCAAGGCGCGCGACTGGGCGCAAGCTCACGCCTCCGCTCTGCAAAGCGAGTTCGCCGTTGTGGGTTTCGACGGCCCCAGCAGCAGCAACAGTGAAGGACAACCCGACCCCGAGTCTCTCCTCAAGGAACGCTCCGCTCAAGAATTCGCCTCTTACGCGACCGGTCGTCAGAACGTGGCGTTCGTGGACGTGGCCATTAAGCTCCCCAAGCGGTACAACCCTGTCACTTTCTGGACGGAGACTGTCCTGGGCTTCTTGTTTGAGAGCTGGTCCCCCCCGACGGAAACCTACGAGGCTACTGCGTACACCTTTGATGGAAAGGAGAAGGACGTTGTCCCGCTCCCGGCCAACGATCGCTCTTCCCTGAAGGTCAACAACTCGACCTACGATGGATTTATCTGGGCTGTTGTGCACAAGAACTACATGCGGAAGTTCCGTCAGGACCGCTACGACGCCAGCATCACTTTCACCAGGGATAACAACAAGTTGCCTAACTGGGTTACGGTCATGACGGAGAGTGCGGAGATCACGGATGCTTTGCTCACGAATGAGCTGGCCCAGGCTATTGAGAAGGCCGGCAATGACTTCAAGTACTTAATTGTTACTGACCAGCCTGTTGATAAGCCCATGAAGTGAGTTTCCCCCCAACCCCAAACATTACCACCTAATCCCCAGACCGAGCACACGTGCTAATCTACACCCACCCATCTATGCAGAATCGAGGAAACCACCCCCCGCAAGCGCATTGAACTGTCCGTCACTCTCCCCAGCAACGCCGAAGGCTACAGCACCACCCTGCCGCTCTTCACGCAGTTCCTCCGTTTCGCCGACCGCCTCGTCGGCTCTGCCCACTTCCGCCCCGAAGTGATGCGCAAGGTGCGCAGCACTCGCGACGAGGAGATCAAGAAGCTGCGTCGTGCGGATGAGGAGGAGAAGGCCGAGGAGCGCCGACTCGCCGCCGAGAAGGTCAAGAAGGAGGACAGGGAACGTCTCCTTCGTGGTATGTCTGCGGATGAGCAGAAGAAGTACCTGGAGCGTGAGCAGCAGAAGGAGCACCGTCGGATGATGAAGAAGAGTACGCGTAGGGGGTGATTTCTGTTCTGTTCTCTTTCCTTTATATTGAACGAACTGTGGATTAGGGGAATGTGGACATCGGCTATCGAAGTCCCTGCTCAAGTTATGGTTTGGTGGTGAGGCTGTTCGTTCGTTGTATATCTTCATGTACAATGTATTCGTAATTTTTTTTTCTTATTTGGATGATGATCTGGGATGATGGGGCTGGATTTGGTTGGAACGATGCCGTGGGGTCAGTCGTGTTCTTGACTGACTGCAGTGGTTTAATTGATCTACTAATGTATCTTGATGGCATGAAGGCTATGTTCGTTCTGAGTAGCTCCTTCGTACTATGAGCGACCTGTCTATGATAGTTTCAGCCTCGTGGCTATATACCTATGATTGATTAGGCACAATATGTAGATCGAGATCCTGCTGATAAGCAGCTCTGTGAGAAATACCCTAGCAAGACACCTACCCACGACAACAGTAAAGTACTTATGACGCCCGATCTATAACAACACCAGACACCAATGAAATCTCACCAATATATACCCGAAATCAAGCCTCAGCAACCAGAAAGCTCATCAAGCTTCCCGCAGTCAACCCGCCTACGAGCATCAATGCCATGAACCCACCTGCAGGTTCACGTTCGTCAGGAGACACCCACTGTCCAGCACCCATCATGCAATTACTCCCCAGGTACCCGTTACTTATGCCGAACAGCAACTGCACAACGAACAGGTAGAAAAAGTCACTTTCCACCACTGCCCCTCGGCCGCGAATGTTGCAGAGGAGGTACAGCGGGATGAATGCGGCTCGAGCAATCGAGAAGAGGAACAGCACAAAGGGACGGTTCACTAAGGACAGACGGGGAAATAGGACGAGCATTCGGCCCAGCAGATCACCTGCGTTCCAGAAGAAGAACGCAAGAGGGATGAAGACAGCCTGGTCGAAGAGTCGTGATCGTCCGGGAGTGTCGTGGACGGATTCAATCTCTGCTGTGAAGACGGGGAAGGTCATGGTGACGGTGAAGCAAAGGAAGATGGCTGTGGCCATGAAGCGGAGCTTCTTGAAGAGCGTCCAGAGGCTGACGGACTTGTTCTCGGGCACATCTGAGTCGCTGTGATCGTCTGTTGGGTCTAAGAGGGTTGATGATGCGCGTTGCTTTACGAGGGATAGGAAGGCCAGCAGAGCGAAGGACGACACGGCTGTGGCCGTGATAAAGTAGGCAAAAGCGGATTTGGATGACTCTTGTGGTGCTTTCTGTCCTTCTTTCTTGCTTGGTACGGAGATCACGGTGAGGATCTGGACAATGCAGGGTAGGACACCCGCTACGCCTTGGCCGCCCATGATGGCTTGGGTATACTCCTCTCTTCCGAAGCCGGAGACGTAAGCGTAAACGCCATTTTGATTTATTCCGGTCGCAAGACTGGCCCCGAATACCATGATCATGAGAAAGCCGAAGTATGTGCTCACTGAGACATCTTTCATCAAGATGGTGGAGAAGGCCAAGAGCGTGAATACCACGATGTTGATAAGCAGAGAGATAGTGACCCGCTTCGGATATGATGCTCCCTTCTGCAGCTTGGCCAGGATGAACGAGGAACCTAAGTTAGTAACGGTGGATACAGTCAATATTGAAGGTTGATAATGGGTTGCTGCCCAGTCGTCTGTGTGGAAACGGTGGTAGAAGTATGGTGCAGCAGCGAGGAACATGTTCCTATGACGTTCCGGTCTAGTTAGATAGATGCAGTCAATGCAGTTGCTGTAAGTTGAGACATACCATGCCCATAGCATCGACACACCCAGGAGGAAGAATACTGCATATTCGTATTTGGAGAAACGGGGATGCTCCAGCCCCTCACGAGCAGAGTGAATGCTCTCATTGTCAGCGTCAACCGGCTGCTCGATTGCTTCATACGTAGGCCGGCGAGCGATCAGCCCGCGGATACGCTCCATTGTAGCGAGTTATTGGGTTGTCCCTGTTCAAACGATGAGAGAGGACAGGGAGTAGTACGAGACTCAGCCCATGATGGTGGAAAAGTGAGGCAGGGAAGATCGACGGGGAGGACAAGAAGATGAGCAGCAGCTGGTCATGAGGCGTGACACTCGCCAAGAATGGTAATTCCGCGGGTCACGTTGGGCTGGGTGACTAAGAGGCTTATCAATTCAATGTTATCAAATACTAACTACTAGTAACTTCAATAGCTCTACAGCTCGAATAGCATGTCGGCAATTGCACACAGAGCATACTTCAGAAGTAGAGATGGGTATTATATTTTATCTATCCAGTCACCAAAAGCTGAGCCACCCCGGTGTTGGGGGGGGGTATCCCGTCGATAGATAGTACATCCAGCTAAGGCGGCCCAGCTGTCTAGACAATAGTGTACTATGTGCTCCATACAGGAGCTATATACTCTACACTGCTGAAAACAAGATAACGAAGAAAAAAGAAAGAAAACAACAAATGGGTGTCCGGAAAGGTAGGCGCCTCCACATCTATGAAGTAGCGGACGCTCCTACTTCTTCTGCTGATCGCGTTCGCTGCTGGCATCTTCGATGTCAGCTTCAGCTTCCTCTTTCTCCAACTGCCACAATTTTCCTTCTGTCGCTGGGCTGATAGGGGCGTTTGCCGGCGTGTTCTCGCCACCACTGATTTGCCATTCCATCAGCTTTGTGAAGGCGCCGTCAGGACGAGAGCTAAGCTCCTCGTAAGTTCCCTGTTCGGCCACCTTTCCATCAGGGGCAAGCACGATGATGGTATCAGAGCGCTTGATCGTAGACAGTCTGTGGGCGATGCTGATGGTCGTGTTGTTTCCACGAAGAAGGGCAGCAAGAGCGCTGTTGACCAATGTCTCAGATTCTGCATCAAGAGCAGAGGTTGCCTCATCCAGAATCAAGATATCGGGATCTTTGATGAGAGCACGAGCAATGGCAATGCGCTGCTTTTGCCCACCAGAAAGTTGAGCGCCGCGAGGTCCAACTTGAGTATCAAGTCCATCGGGCTGCAAGAAGTTAGCAAAATGTACAGTCAGAAAGCAAGTTGTCCACTTACGAAATCGCTGATAAACTGGCAGTTCGCCTTTCTGGCTGCTGCGATGATCTCTGACCTAGTAGCCCGTGGCTTGCCATAAGAAATGTTCTCAGCAATTGATCCCGAGAACAGGACAGGTTCCTGAGCAACAACACCAATCTTCCTTCGAAGGGACTTGGCGTTCATCTCGCTGATGTCTTGGCCGTTAATCAGGACCCGTCCTTCGGTTGGGTTGTAGAACCTCAGTAGAAGCGAAGCAATAGTTGACTTTCCTCCACCCGAGGGACCGACGATGGCAACGTTCTTTCCTTGCGGGATCTCAAAGTTCAATTCCTTGAAAATAGGAACGGCAGGTCGCGTGGGATAGCTGAAGTTCACGTTTTCAAAACGAATAGGACCACGGGCCGATTCAACCTTCTTGCCCTTCGTCGGGGATATCGTTGGCTCACGATCCTGCAATTCGAAGAGACGACTAGCAGCTCCAACACCCTTCATCAGCTCGGAGTAGAAGCTAGAGAGACCGAACATGCTGGAACCGGCATAAGCAGTATACATCAAAAAGGATGTCAACTCTCCAATAGTGATGCCACCTGACTGAACCATGCCGCCTCCAACATAAAGCAATGCAAGGATTGTCATGTTGCCCATGAAGCCAGTCTGATTGTGCTGTCAGCTAAGTGGTAATAAGTGATAAGCGCACAAATACAGGGGAACATACGGAACTGAAGAAGGTAGCGCTAATCAAAGATTCCCTCTTGCCAAGCTCGAAGATCTTGCGCACTTGGTTATTGTACCGGTTCACTTCGAGGATCTCACCAGCAAAAGACTGGCTAGTCTTGACATTACCAAGACGCTCTTCCGCAATTTTGGTCAAAGTACCGAGGTTTCTCTGGATCTTGCGACTGAGGTTCCTTATCGCCCTACCATAGAAGAAGGCGCCGAGACCGATCGGAGGCAATAGCACAAGCAAGACACTGGACAGCTTGAGACTGACATAGGTCATCAGACCAAAGCCTGCTGCACCACTAACCGCTGCTCGTAAGCCGTCCGACAAGTTCTGCGTAATACTTTTGCCCACGATAATGGTGTCAGAACCGAGTCGTGAGATCAAGTCGCCCACTCTGTTCGCATCGAAGAATTCCGCATCTTGCACAAAAGTATTACGGAAGAGCTTAGAGCGAAGCCTTGACACAATGCGCTCTCCAACGATACGTAGGATGACAATGCGCCCATAGTTCGCAGCGGCACCCAGTGTAAGGATACCAGCCAAAGCTCCATAGAACATCGGTACACTCAAGCCGAAGAGCAGATTTCCACCGCCCTCTTCGTCAGAGGTTTTTGTAGCTGCATCCATGATTTTGCCGATGGAGAAGGGAACGGACATGGTGATCGATGACGAAATAAGCAGGAAAAAGAAAGCAAACCCGAGCTTTCTAGCTTCGGGTCGGGCAATGAGCAGGAGTCTCCATATTTCTTTGAAGCCGGCTTTCTTGTTCCCAGATCCGTCTTTCGACAGCTTAGCAGCAAGGTTTACCTGCGCAGCCTGCGCTCCCTTTTCGGAGAGCTCGAAGCCCTTGTCTATGTCTTCATCTTCCTTGTCCTGAGCCGTGGCGTTGTTCGTTTGAGCAGATTTAGCCGTTGAGTTCACTGGCTTGGATTCCAATGACCGTTGCGAAGAGGAGAAGAACCGAGATTGCGCTATTAATTGCGACCGTATGATATCGAACCGTGAACCGTTACTTTGACGGGTGGATAGACCAGACGTCAGCGAGAAATTGTTGCGTAATGAACCCGAAATGCCCGAGAATTGTCGGCTAGGGACGCCAAAGATGCCAATTCCAGATTGATGTGGTCGAGCTCCAAAGTAAAGATCATTTAGTATGCTCCCATTCATCTGAGCTCCCCGTCTGGCGGTGACGCCGGGGGCCCAGGAAGCCAGCAACCTGGCTCCGCGCATTTCGGACGATAGAAAGCGGATTCGGATGGCTGCTCAAATGGATGCCAAACGGAGTAATCAGGGTGCCATATCCCACTAGACAGCCCGGTGTCTGCTAGATCTCATGACAAATCAAAGATAAATCGCTCTCCGGGAGACCGCTGGACGCTTGGAAGGCAGAACATGTCAGCCGTGAAGCCGCGAGTCCGGCCATCGCCGTTCGGCCTCGCATCGGCGACGGTTCTGCCTGCAGACACCGCCTGCCCTGATTCCGCCGCCGTCGAAGCTGGTCGAGAGCTTTCGATGATCCCTCAGAGCTGGGATAGGCTGCGCTCGTGCATTTCTTGCTTTTTAAGCTTTAAAGCTAGCTTGGAGTCAAGTTCGCTGACCATATATTCTCTGGAATCATATCCGTACAAACGACTCCACCCCATTTCCAGGCTCTATACATCTATTCGTTTACCCCACCCTCACCCCTCCTTATACCATCGACTACATTCCGCACTCGCCCAACATGGTGCTTGATTACAGCAAATGGGATGCACTGGAGCTATCTGATGACTCCGACATTGAAGTGCACCCGAATGTTGACAAGCGTTCTTTCATCCGGGCCAAACAAGCCCAGATCCATCAACAACGTGCCCAACGCCGCCATGAGATCGAGACGCTGAAGTACGAGCATATTGTCAACAACGGCCTCCTTTCACGAATCGATAAGCTTCTTACGGCCCTGAAGCAGAATGAAGGCTCCAAGTCCGTCGAGGAAGTGATCTTCCAGAATCTTATGGAGTTTGCAGGCAACCCATCGGACGACCATCCTCCCGCAGCCCCGGCAGGAGTTCATACTCAGGAGAAGGAACAGCCTAAATACTCACAGATGATGAGCGCTCTGGTTGACCAGGTAAAGAAGGAAATGGGCGACGTCAGCTCGGAGAACCTCTATCAGGAATATATCAAGGGTGTTCAGAGGCACAACGATAAGGTGCAGGGCTTACAAAAGGAGCTTCTTCAGAGACTTGCCCAGCTTGAAAAGGAAGAAGGCAGTAAGATTACCAGCGAGGGGTTGCACGAGGGGTTCAACACTTCCCACATTGCCAAGCCTGGCGAGGCCAAGGGCCAAAAGACGGAGACAGTTGAGCTTCTGAACCCTGGAGCTTCTACGGCGGGCTCATCCCAGCAAGCTGCTGCCCCAGCTGCTGACGATGATGACGAGGAGGAGGATCCTGAGAACGTCAAGGCCAGCGAACTTGCCAAACGATTCGCGAAAATCAACCGCAACGATTACCGTGCTTTGCTTCAATTCATCTCTGAGAACCCCCAGATTGTTGCTGAGAAGGAAACGGATGGTCTATTGGTTGAAGCGTTCAACAGCCAGATGGAAGGCAAAGAGGACTATGCCCGTACCTGCGTTCACCAAGGCTTGTTGTTGCAGTACTGCCGCTCCCTGGGTCGCGACGGTATCTCGCTTTTCTTCAAGCGGTGCGTATGCGAACGATCGATTGCCTTGAGTCGCTTGCTAACAGGTATATTCGTATAGTATCACAAACGCAGACCACCAGGCTGGAACCCTCTTCCGGAACGACGTCAACGAAACTTACCATAAAATCAAGACCCGCGCCGCGGAGCTGGCCAAAGACGGCTCCGCTTCTAACGACCCCGCTGGAGTGGAACAGATCCAGCTGCATGCAGTCGACCCGAACACTAAGATCACCATCAACATACCTTCTGCTGAGGGCGATGACCCTGTTGAAGTTGAGGCGCGCAAGGTCTATGAATCCTTCTCCAAGGATCTACAGAAAGCCTTGGCATCGGAGTCCTTAGATGAGGTCAACAAGGTCCTCGGTAAGATGAGCGTTGAAGAAGCCGAAGATGTCGTTGAGAAGCTAGGACAGAGTGGCATGCTGAGCCTGGAGGAAGGCATTGTTGATGCGACCACGGAGGAAGGAAGGAAGAAGCTGGAAGAAATCGAGGCAGAGAATAAGAGAGAAAGAGAGGAACAGGAAGTAGGTGAACCGGGAGGCGATATCACTGAGCTGGACTGAGGTATGAAATACAATAATGCATATGTTTGGGATGGTGGAAATGTTTGTATTCGTCAGCAGCGACTGTGTTAATGGTTGATTTGGATGAACTCAGATTGTTTATATAGCATCTAAGCCCCTACCTCCGAGTAGGAGGATTACAATGTGTGAATACATGCTCCAAGTAAGATGTACTTTTAGCGAATACCAAGTCCTTTGATGTTTTGCATAAGCGCCGTTCTTTAAGGTAGTAATGGACGTGGAAGGCAATTAAAATGTTCCAAAGTATGTAATCTACCTACATCAAGGGGAAATAAGCAACATAAGAAGACATGTGTTTAAGAATTGAACAGAAGACACATGTACTGAGAAATAGCCATTATCTCGAGTACTTGACGAACTCCTGTATAAGAAAATATGATCGGGTCGAGAATCTGAGGCGCACGGAGGTGGTATGAATGGTGACGGTCGTGATAATAAAAGGCGCTGGAATGCAGAGGACAAGGGTAATCTCCAGTGCTTCAACTCTTTCCCACTCTCTGAGATGTATCATTAGACCAAAGTCTTATTTTGTGGAATTCGGCGTTCTTCGCATCCAGAGTCCTTGTAGTTGGAACCCATTATAGTTTCAGCTGCTTAAACGCCGCTGACACCAGGGGCATTCTGGTCCTTCTTAAGGTCAAGGAGCAACTCTCGGAAGCGCTCCTTGCCGGAGCCGCTGGCACCACCCTTGGTTCCCTTTCCGGAGACATCGACAAGCTTCGCGATGCGTTCCCAGCTAGTACCTCCCGAAGAAGTGTCCTCCCGGTTGGACAGGAACTGATCTGCCTCAGCGCGAGTCTGGGCACGAAGCTTGTCGGTCTTGTTGTTGTATGAGACATAGAAGTCGTCAATATCCTCGCGCGCCTTCTTTATGGTAGCTTCCTTCTTCTCCTCCGAGATCTCCGCCCGACGCTGAATGTCCGCATCTCGCCGCTCACGCCATTCCCTGCAAGACATCTACCATCAGCACATGGACCCCATACAGGTGAATGGCAAAGAGTTGTGAAAGTCATGAAAGTCATTGGCTGGCTGCTGATATGGGTGACACATACCTGACGGGCTCTGGCTCCTCCTCCGGGGCTTGAGAGGTGTAGTTGGAATACCCGGTGGGTGGAAAGGGGGCACCCGACCCAGTGATTGTGCCGCCAGGAGCAACTTGCTGGTAAATTCGCAGTCACGTTAGAGACTCCCCCAAGCATATACCAGAAATGTCTCATACCTCGTTTTGTGTGTCGAGAGCAGGGAAGGAAGACTCGAATCCAGCGATCTCCTGAGGCTCAGCACCACCCGCGGACGGGGCGGCATCCGCACCTCCCAGCAAGTCGTCGTCATTGTTTATGTCGTCGGCGACATGATCTTGGGGAGTCGCAAATTGTTCCGCATCATCACCGAGCATAGCACGTTCGCGAGCTAGGAAGTCATTTTCATCTGAGGCACCGTTGGTTTCAACAACTTCGGTCTGGCCTAGAGACCGGGGTTAGTGTTATGTAGTGTTGGCGGGCATGATGCCGGCTGCTCACCTGCAGAGAAGTCCTCCAATGAAGGGAAACGATCCGCCATACTTTTCAATTATCGTAAATTGAGTTATAGATTGATTTCGCGAAGAAGTTGAATTAAGAGAAAGGGGTCAAATGAGGAGAGATGAGAATGTGAACGTAAGGCTCCAGCTGGCGTCTTGGGGATCGAGCGGACCGTTCCAAGTATGAATGGAGAACCCCCCGGATTCTGCCAAGAAGGCGGTCTGACAGCTACACAGCAATTACCAGGTGCGACGGATGAGCTTCACTGTTCCTCAGGACCATTTCACTCTTTCACGTCAGATTTCCAGGGCAGTGGTCATATCAATCCGACTCAAGCTGAAGTGAATCTCTTTTCTATTGCGCATCCTTGGTACATTGTGCCCGTTGTCATTCGTTTCAGCATTCGCGCTTAAGGAATAGCGATCCAAGTCCAAGCTCGCGGCGATCAAAACACACTGCATTCACACATCTTTCATTACTCTTTCTATCAGAGATTTCTTCTACCTCGGCCATATTAGCAAGTATTCAGAATGGCCTATACGGATGATGCTGTGAAAGCGAAGCTTTCAGCCCTCAACGAAACCCAGGAAGGCATTGTCACAGTTGCGCAATGGGTCATGTTTCACAGGTAAGATGACAACTGTTCGTATATACAAAGACTCTGCTCATATGTTATTTCAATATTAGGCGACACGCCGAACGAACCGCACAGCTCTGGCTGCAGAAACTCCGCGATTCCCCAGCACCGAAGCGCCTGAACCTGATATATTTGGCCAATGGTATAGCTCATGTTCCGAATCGGTTATAGTTCGACACTAACAGCATCTCAGAGGTGGCGCAACAGTCTAGAGCTCGCCGGAAAGAGGACTTCCTCATCGCATTCTCGCCGGTTGGTTTATCATCTTTGAGACCTGGCAGGTATCAGAGGTTAACGTTTACCAGATCATCGCAGAGGCCACGGCTATCGCATACAAGGGTTCCTCAAACGATATTCAGCAAAAGATTCGTCGCGTGGTTGAAGTATGGAGACAGAGATCTATCTTTGAACTTCCCATTCAGGAGGCTGTAGAAGCTCGAGTAGATGGTAGGTCGTCTTGCTGTTCCATACTTCATTCATCCTGCTTACTCCGTAGTAGAGATCGATAAGTCCCGCTCTACCGGTAAAAAGCCGTTGCTAGGAGGGTCCCTCTTCTCGAGCTCGTCGGGCTCAACACCGTCTGAACTTCAGCCTCTAGTGCCTCTACAGGTAGCCGTTTCAAAGGCTACCGTGGCTTCAACTGCATCTGCCACAGCTGCGAATGCAGAGTATGACAAGATGCACGACCCCAACACGCCTTTGCCTACCCCTCCAGTGCATGCGGCGCGGCTTAGCCAGCTGTTGAAAGCCCTTGCGAATGCAGAAAGCTCTGTATCCGAGGTCATCAAATCACGCACCGCTCTCATCGAGGGTCTCGAGAAGCTCCTCGCAACCAATCGCTCAGCTTTATCCAAGGAACAATCAATGGTCGCACAGTTGACGGAAAGAAAATCGGAGACGGAAGCCACCAAAAGAGAGGTTGAAGATGGGATCATGCGCGGGCTCTCTGCCGAGAATTCGCCTGCGATCAACCATGGCGATGCTGGGCCAGAGGGAGAGCCTATTTCTCGTCCAGAAGTTGAGGCCCTGACTCCTCCACCAGTTGAGGCCATTACACCTGTTGGCTCTCCCAAGCAGTCCGCACAGGACTCAGACTTCAGCGCAGTACCTCCTCAGCCCCAGATACTGGGTGGATTTACCCTGCCTGGTTTCGGAAATCCGGCCGATTCTTCACTTTCGGCGGCGGGCTTCCCTCCCGCGGGACTCGGCGAGCACCAAACAGACGGTTCGAACGGGCTCCATGCCAAGAGACGCAAGGTTACGCATGAAGAGGAGGATTACGCTCGATTCGCAGGCGGCGACTTGGATGCTGATGTAGCTGAGCTCTTGAAGCAGGAAGGTGATGCCCAGCAATAGGCCTTTTAGATTCACACACTTTGCGGTCGGTGGCAGGCGCAAGCTTGCTTATCTTTCAACCCGAAAGACTCCAGTTTTACTTTCAACATTATCTATTCTGTCGTCTTATGTGCTGTTTACTGAGAATGTAGTTATCCATTTTCTGTTGCAAGGCGCGCCCATTCTTGCCTATTATGATAATATCTGGATATCCACTGTTTATGCGATTAGCAATACGTCCGAGATTTATGCCCGCAGGACGAATTAGTTTCTCTCGAAAGGAATCAATACGTCGCTGGAATACATTTGAATTAGTTTCATTACTATTATCATGGAACACTGAAATGTGAACTATCGAAATATATCCGGGTCACCCCATTTGTTTCTCGCAATCCGTAATGAAGAGGGACTCCTTCTGCGGCGGTATATGGTATGGAAGGCACGAGGAGTCATTGTGGGCGGCTGTTCATTAGTTTGCGGGGGAGGTGGCGGCGCCGGTGCCGGAGCGGGATCCGGGGAACTGTGTTTCTTCGGCTTGACTAGTAGGACAATAAACAGGCCTGCGACTATGATCACCAGCAGGAGCATGATCTTGCGCTTCACTGTACGTCGTTGGTAGTTTGTAGCCTGCAAGATGCAGATTGGTTAGTAGAGAACTTTCTGCTCGGGTGGCTGCATCAGACGCGAACGTACCACTTTCAGCTCTTTATCCGCGGCCTTGACCTCCGTGCCCATCCGCTCGATATTATAGTCAATCCGATCCAGCATGGTACCCTGATCGATAACCATAGACTGCAGCTCCCGGAAAATATCCGACAGCTCAATGATACCTTTCGCGATGTCGTTTATTTCCCGTTCCCGCTGTTCAATGGCGGCATCGTTCTGGCCCGTCAGTCGTTGCGACGTCTGCATCAGCGTGGATTGCGAGAACGACTTGTCCGCATCGGATTCCATAAGCGACGGGTCTGTGTATGGGTTCTGCATCGGTGTCGGGGAACGTTCAAACGGCACTGATCCACCCTCCAGTCCTCGTAACTCTACCACACAACTGCGGTTAGCTTGACAAACAGACGTAGCGCAGCCCAGAATAAACTCACTCTTCAGATATGTACTCTGTTTCTTCCGGAACCGAGCACTAGCCTCTTGCACCCTAGCAGCAAGAGATATCTGCAGGTTCTTGGCCATAGTTTCATCGCCGCTGCTAACTCCACCCTGTTGTTGGGCTTCCCGTACCATTGTCTCAATCTTCTTAACCGCTTTCTGGCATTCATGAAAGGAGCGCGTGATATCCTGTGTGAGTCTTTCTATAACTAACTCATCTTGCTTTCGTACGTCCTCGTCTCCGAATCCCGGTAGAAGGTGTTTCTGGTGTAGCTTATCGAGGTGGGAGGACTTCTGCGCAATGTCCGCAAGTAGCTCCGTCACTTCCTCCTGTACGTCAACCCAGCGCGGGGGTAAAACGTCCATCTCGATAATTGCGTCGCCATCGTCGTCGAGACCGCCGGTTTCTGAAATGAGTCGCCGGCTTTCTTCAGGCTGCGACAGGCTATCGGAGAAGCCATTGGAAGCTCCGAGATAACGTGGCTTCTTGGCTGGATGATGCGCGAACGACTGGCGGTAGGATATGTAGCTGTATCGAGGATGGATGTTAGTTCATGATCTTCGACATTCTGGATGATAAATCCCGGGATGCAATTACAGGTTGGTCCGGTCCCGCCACATTGTGAAGGGTAGGAAGAGAGGGTCGTTGGTCTGCGGTGATCCTTCGTCGGGGATACTCTTAAGCCACCCTGATCATTGTCCGGCGAGGGATGCCGTTAGAATGGGTAGCGAAATTCGAGTCACAATAAACTCAGAGCAGAATATCTGGACATATGAAATGGCAGTGAGGGGTATAGGCCGTTTTTCCGCGTCGTAGAATCGAGTTTCGTAGGATGTATTCGATAGGACCGCTGTACTTCCCGGAGCTCCCCATCTCCATGTTGCACATGAAGGGACGGCCGCACCAATCCCAATGCGGTATCACCCGAGCCGATCTAAATATATTACGTCAGCCACGATGGTCTGAGACGATGCCTGAGTAATTATGCGAGATTATGCATCTTAATTGGATTGGTCAAGTTCGGAAGATGATGTCCTGGATGAGGATAAGAGGTCCGTCATGGGCGAGAGATACATGTGGTATTGCTGTCTAGTGTGTTCCATGGATTACACACTATAGATTAGATGCCGCACCGTCATTGCCTGTCACAAAAGAACTATGTTGTGTAGATGCTACTTGGCTACTAGAGCATTATGAGACAAGAGTGACGGCTACCTATTTCTATATTTGAAGCAATACTTCGCGATAACCGATCGTATTGGTCACCCAGCTGATGCAGTCTAGACACACATATAGTGAGATACTATCAAGAGGCATTGCCTAGGGATCAAGTTCGTATAATAAGGTGTTGATAGGAGCACGTAGCAGCAGTCGGATGCTCTGAATGCGACGAGATGTGGAGTGCTAGAAGGAGTAGATGCATCAATGATCAAACAGCTGCAATGGGGCTATCTCAGGTGCAGGTTTGTTATGGTTTGTTTTGGATGTATCAAGCAGTTTTGGCAGGTCAGATAGGAAGAATTGAGATCGGAAGTTAGTAATTTGATTGCATGCTCTAGCCTGGATATTGCAGACTATGAGCAATCATGTTGGCAATGGAGGTTGTCAGTCTCACTTTGCATGATTATAAAGTATGCCAAGCCCAGATAACTTGCGCAGTTATTCCATACTTATGCCGCCTGAAGAAACAAGCCATGGTTCTAATTGCGAAGGTTTTAATCAAGGGCATAGAAGTCTCAGGGGATGGAGAAGAGTCATCTTCTGCTTCGTGATTTGCATGACTGAACCCTCAGGTACAGGAGTTGTCCCATATCAAGGTTCCAGGGTATAGTGTCTGAACAAGGTTCGTCCTGGTGAAAGGCAGGCGGGACTTGTTGCCTTCAAGCTTTGGTACTGCCGGGATCCACGGCTGGTCGTCAGCAACTGGCCAAAAGGCGCCTACTTACAGATTACATGCAAGGCTGCGCTCGACTTGCAGCCATTCAAACGATTATGTTTAGGCAACGGGCATTTTCATAAGGCAGATATGACGGGACGCTGCGAGCCTGCAGCAGCTGAAGAAAAAGCAACCAACCAAAGCATGGAGAGGGAGCGTGCAAAAGGAGGCGAATTGACAGACGGGCGGGCAGGACAGAACAGCGTTTCCAGGCGCAGAGGGCACATGGTGGCCAGGGCGGGTCACGTTTCAGGCATAAGCGACCGCCTTGCCAGGCGTCCAGCTCAATGGTCATTTATTATTATGATGGATTCGGGTTCCCCTTAAATCATCTTCCACCAACACCACCACCACCTTCTCCTCCCCCCACAGCCCTTTACCGCTACCGTTCAAGCCACCAGCTTTCTTGTTCCCTTTCTACTCAACTTCATTACCCTCCCGTGACTTATCACATCCCATATTAACCATGGTATGTACCTCCTTCCTCGCTGTCCCGGCCAGTTGCGTTGAAAATCCCCCACTTTGCGGGGCAGATCTGCCTGGCATTCTCGACAGGATTGCTGACATCGCATCGTCTAGGCCGACTCTCTGACCGAAGAGCAAGTTTCTGAGTACAAGGAGGCCTTCTCCCTCTTTGTGAGTGCTCCCTGAATGAACTTCCGGTCACTCAAATTGATGACCTATCTTGACCGGCTCATAATGCTAATGTATTCTCGAACTCAATAGGACAAGGATGGCGATGGTGGGTGGAATTCTGTCCCCTTTACGTTTTACCTGTAGCGCTCGATCCGACCGCGGGATTTCGACAGCCATTTCCCCATCGATCTGAATCATTATACTGATGTAATTTGGAAATAGGCCAGATCACCACCAAGGAGCTCGGCACTGTGATGCGCTCCCTCGGCCAGAACCCCTCCGAGTCTGAGCTTCAGGACATGATCAACGAGGTTGACGCTGACAACAACGGAACGATCGACTTCCCCGGTATGTGATAGATCTACGCCTGTAGGGCGGGAATGCCGTATGGGTTGTGATTGACTTTTGCCGCCAGAATTCCTTACCATGATGGCTCGTAAGATGAAGGACACCGACTCCGAGGAGGAAATCCGCGAGGCTTTCAAGGTCTTCGACCGCGACAACAATGGTTTCATCTCCGCCGCGGAGTTGCGCCACGTCATGACCTCCATTGGCGAGAAGCTCACTGACGACGAAGTCGATGAGATGATCCGTGAGGCTGACCAGGATGGTGATGGCCGCATCGACTGTATGTTTCCCATTCTTGATATGCCCGTGATATAGCATGCTAACTCTGCTACCAGACAACGAGTTCGTCCAGCTCATGATGCAAAAATAAACGGCTCTTCATGTTCTATTTGTCTTGTGTTAGCGGAAAGGGTGGGGAACAATGAAATCTACTCCACAATGTCCCATCTTTTATCCCATCCCGTCTCTTGTAGTCTCATTATTTGGCTATGACCCTTATTCATCTTGATGATCGAGCGCTTCGCATTATCACTGTTGGTTCTAATGTTGCAGGAATGGTAGAGGCGACCATAGGTCTAGACTGGTTTGAGCGAGCTGGGATTGAATATGTCAGACAGGGAGGGCTCTGTCTTTGCTGGGAGTTCCTGCGTGATGTGGCCCGCAAGGGTTATTTGTTCCTCTTTATACCCGCTTACCCCTTTCACCATTGTCCATAGTCCCGTGTCGTGATTCGTTCCTTTGCCCGTCTGACAACTCGTAGTGGCTCGATTGCATCGGATAATAACCATTTTGATATTCTAAGACTGTTCTGATGTAGACAGGAGATAATGGATTTATGCTGCTACTTTGTTTAAGTCCAACACTCTGCCTCCGGGTCTCAACAAAGAGCACCGAATGTGGAGGCTTTATGTTAAATAACCCAGCTTCTAGCGCTTTTTGACGGCTACCCCTGCACATCGCGTACATTCCTTGTGCCACATGCCACCCGGAACCTAATATACGAGATATCTCCCTTCAATTTACGATCTGCCAGCTTGATGACCATACGTTTTCTTTAATCAGCAATCTCCCAAGGCAATTCAGGTTATGTCCATTCCAATATCGAGGCCTAGTTATATTAGCGGTTGAACCTAAATATCTCCATGAACTGCCTCGCCACATCCACACCTGCATCCGGATCCGGATCCTCATCCGCTTGCTGTAGGTTTGCTTCGTCAGAAACAGTATGTCTGCCCTTCTGTTTCAACCTCCTCAACCGATCCTTAGCTTCCTTCCCCACATCCGGCAATAAGATAGCTTCCCTGGCCCCCTCAATTCCCAGCCTCGCCCAGAATTCCCGAATCAATGCCGCACTAGACACATACTCGGCATCAATATCCGCATCTTCAATAGCATCCGGGAACGCCATATCAATCCCGGAGTCGTCATCATCAGCTATTTGCCCATCGCTCGGACTCCGTTGTGCTGAAATCGAATCGACTATACAGGGACCTCGCCATTCAATTTCGACAACTGTTCCGCGCACCCTCGCTGCTGGCTGAGTCTGTCGCACATCACCCACTCGAACCCGGAAGTCACCCACATCGTAAACCACACCGCCTGGCACGGTGACCGTGTGGCGATGGCACCAGAAAGGCTGGCAGGCGTAGCCAAAGTGCTGGAAAAGAGCATTACAGGATGTAAGCGGCACGGTGGTCATGACCATTGGTCCTCCTGACGGTGCAGCGGCATTAGATGGGGTGGAAGGGGTGGGCGCTGATGCGCCTGGAGCTCCACTCTGAGGAGTAGTGTTGGTGGGTGAGCCAGCTGGCGTGGTATTAACACTGGTTGCCGTGTGGTGAGTGGTTTTTTCTAGTGCTTCAGAGGTGTAGATGAAGCCGTGAGTGGAGTGAAAAGACAGTGATAGAAATTGCATATAGCGCGGTTGCACTTGGCGCTGAGATGCTGAGGCTGGAACACATGATGGCGTATCGCGCATTAGCCTGTGTTCGAGGAACCAACGGCCTACTAATGTTGGTTCGTCTGCTAGGGCTGTATGTAGGCGCTCTGTGATTGTGGCTAGCCCTGTGGATGCATTTGGATTGGAGGGGATGAAGTAGACTCTGGATAGTTGGAGTTAACATGATATGAGGATAAGTGATAATTGGTGAGCGCTTACCCTGTGATAGGCATTGTGTAGTATTTGAGTTTCCCTTGATAGATGTTGTATCTCTATGGATGGTTTTCTCTTGTCCTTGAGTAGGGCGCCTACGAAGGGTTTCACGTGCCAAGTTAAAAACAAGAGGGGTATCTTCTTGAATGCAAGAAAAGAGAGAAGTGCGGTAGATATGTGTAAGAGTCAATTGACGATGGTATGGGTTCAATTGATAGCGAGTCTGGTAGTAAGCAGGCAGCACAGGTAATTAATTCATTTGGAGAGCGATTCGTTTATGTCTAATTACACATTAGTATATTGAGCATTAGATGGGTCCGTGCTATTGGTGGAGATCATCTAGACATACCAAGAAGAATGCAATAGCAGTTTATGTTGCTTTGAGTATATCACCTACAGCTCTAGGAGGACTGATTGGACTGTCCGTGGCTTTTTCGGGCATGTGACCCGTCATGACTTGGAGACAGTGTTGACTGCCTTGGGGTCCAGGCCACAAAGGTGCAAACCGGTCAAACACTGCCCCCAAGCAATAACTTCGACCCCAACTGGCATTAACTCGCACTCCGACCTCCGACTCTCATTTCCTCCATCTTCTGTGGCTGTTCACTGGCCCACCTCAACTTCGAGTACCAACAGTAATCAATTCCTGGGCCGTCTGGGTCCTCGGGGCTCCACTCTTACATTTTATCCCCGACTCTGTCTCTGATTGAGCCACACCGAGTCCTGAGATCCGTCTAGACTTTGGTCTGGAATATCCAGGGGAACACACTTCCACTTTCTGTTCTCTACACAGTACGCGCGTATGTCTCTCCTTGCCAAGACGCGGGACAAATACTCCGGACAATGAGGCTGAGACCACAAAGGGGTCTTAGTTTTGGAGTAGTCGACGTCAAGTGGTCAAGAATAGAAAATCGCACCCACTCCAGGTGGACTAACACTCCCTATTCTGCGATGCTTGAGACCGGCCAGGGTCCAAGGGACCACTAGCTTACGCAATGGGCAGATCCTTTTGCCATATTGCTTGTTTACGCTCCGCTCGACTATTACTTACTTTGGTAAGTCTTGTTGCCAATGAACTTTTTCAGCCATTCACCCTCTCCTCTTTGCGATCAACATGCCACCCATGGCTAGGCGCTTGTAAGATGGAGCAGTAAACGCTCGGATGCAACATACCTCCACCGCAGCGCCAATGCTTATTTGCTCGCGACAACTGGGATAGAAAGACCGGACCAGGGGCGATCCTTGACAACAGGCTATATACGGTGCCCATGCCTTGTCTAGTCTGTACCAGCGTGCTGCACTTGCAAAGAACCGTCGCCTTGGTCGGTCCTTTGGTGTTCATACCCAGAACCATCCCCTCTTTTTAATCTTGTCGGCGTTAGCTCGCTGGGCCGATTACTGGTAAACCTGGCATTGAGCATGCTCACACATCTCCGATGTTACCTCTCATCTGATTAATATAACCCGTTGCTGTGATCTGCACAGCTGTCCTCTCCTTTTTGCTGTCTGCTCCTCGTTGATTTAGCGATTCTTTATCGAGTATTGTCTATAGTTTGCCGTAACCATGGCGCGACGGAGCTACCTCCTACCCACCATCATTCTCCTATGCATCACATACGCTCTTTTCTCGAGTCTACCGCCCGGTGCGAAGCCACATTACCACCATCATTTCAGAAATCCATACGACCCTCCCCCGCATAAAGAGGGTAGGATCCGTTGGCGGAAGCATGCCGAGCAGTACCCAATCTCCGATTATATCCCTCTTCCTTCGACTGCGCCATCCGCTATTCCACGAATTCAGTACAAGTTCTCTAAGGAGTCGTGGTTTGCACGATGGGGACGGGTGAAAAGGCAGCGTGCGGTCAAGAAAGCATTCCAGCACGCGTGGAAAGGGTACAGGAACAATGCCTGGCTGGAAGACGAGCTCTCTCCCCTCACTGGTGGCCACCGCGAGACCTTTGCGGGCTGGGCGGCTACCTTGGTGGATTCCCTAGATACTCTCGTTATTATGGGACTCACTGAGGAGTTTGAGGAGGCCGTGAAAGCGCTTGAGTACATCGACTTCACTACCACCAGCGCCATTCAGATTAATGTCTTCGAGACTAACATTCGGTACTTGGGCGGGCTTCTTGGTGCCTACGACTTGACCCAGGGTAAATATCCGATTCTCCTAAAGAAGGCAGTGGAAATTGCGGACATGATTTATGGATCGTTTGACACTCGCAACCGAATGCCGCAATCGAGGTGGGAATGGACCAGGTAAGACACCCAGCAGATGCCTCGGTTGTCAAGCGGTCCCCAGGTGTCGCTATGGTAGCATTATGACTCAGGCTGGGCCATGTTGACTGGGATCTAGATCTGCGGATGGTCTGAGCATTGAGCCGGGCCGAAACACCATACTTGCTGAACTCGGGTCATTGAACCTAGAATTTACGCGACTCTCTCAACTGACAAAGGACCCTAAATACTTTGATGCTATCCAGAGGATAACGGATTTTCTCGAGGATACTCAGGAGACAACCGATGTACCTGGGATGTGGCCCATGATGGTCAATGCTAAGGACTTAGAATTTGCTGATCCCCGATTCACCATCGGAGGAATGGCTGACTCGACATATGAGTACCTCCCGAAAGAGCATATGCTTCTGGGAGGGCAGACCAGTCAGTACCGTAGAATGTACAACTCCTTCATGAAGGCGTTGAAGAGCCGCCTGCTTTTCCGCCCGATGACTGAAGACGGCCGAGATATCCTCTTTGCTGGGAACCTCCGCGTTACTGGATCCTCGAGCCGAAATAATCTAGAGCCCCAGTGGGAGCATCTGAAATGCTATCTCGGAGGTACTGTCGGCATAGGGTCCAAGGTGTTCGACCGACCCGAAGAGTTGGCTGTCGCGCGGAAGTTGGTCGATGGGTGCATTTGGGCCTATGATATTATGCCGACCGGGATCATGCCAGAGATCTTGCATCTTACAGTGTGTAAGGACGATGACAATTGCCAGCTGCCTCAAAGCTCTCAGCCCACCAGCACCTCAAAGGATGGCAAAAGGTTGCCGCCAGGCGTGGCCGATATTCCTGACCCCAAGTATCTACTGCGGTATGTTTTCCGAAAATATGTGACACTTGTGTTCTCCATCTAATCCCATCTTAGACCCGAAGCTATCGAGTCGGTTTTTATCATGTACCGTATAACGGGGGACCGGTCTCTGCAGGATGCGGCGTGGAGGATGTTCCAAAATATTGACAAGATGACGCGAACCTCGTTTGGACACGCAGCCATTTCCGATGTTCGGGACCCCGAGTCGCCGCAGATGGACTACATGGAGAGTTTCTGGCTGGCAGAGACTCTGAAATACTTTTACCTTATATTTTCCGAGCCGGACCTCGTGAACCTGGACGAATATGTGTTGTAAGTTTTACGCTTCGCTCTCAAGGCCTCATATGGACATTTTGCTAAACATCTAGCAGGAATACGGAAGCACACCCTTTCAAGCGTCCAACTGCTTCGAGTACATAATGCGGTTGGGCTTTCTATTTGTGATAAACATGCATGGCGAACGGGCGTCGCCATAAGTGATTAACCTTTGACACCAGATGGTCTTTATACATATGAAAACCCATCTGATCAGTAAATAGTCTGTGAAGGCGTCATTGGTATTTTCTATGGAGTTATTCATTTATTAGAGCGCTAATCATATAGAGGCGCTATACTATACAATATATACATTTGCAAACACGAGATTAGTCCATCACCGATAGGATAGTAGTAGTAGCCCAGCACTACTACCTCCAATTAGCACCAGACATGCTCAAATCAAGATGCCTATCATACTCAATCGTATACTCCACATCCTTCCGAATCATCATCCTTGCATTCCCACCATCACTTCCAACACTGCGCTGCCCATCCATCTCAACAAGCTCAATATCAGGTTCAGCCACAGGACCTGCCTGATGCCCACCATCCAACCTCCTCGATACCCTCCACGATCTCCTCTCCTCATGATTCATATAAGTCTGTCTTCCAGACCCCGCTTTAGACGAATCGACCTTCCACGACCGCGACACTCCACTCGTACTCTCGAGATTTGAATCACCCGCCGTTCCGTAATTAGTGCTCACTGCCGCCATGAACGGCCGCAGACAGAAGATACTGCATGCCACGAGAGCGTAGTTGAGTTCGACCTGGGCCCAGATGATGGGTGTGACGACGGCTAGTGTGGGATCGGGGGAGTGGACGAGGAGTAGGATGGTGTAGATGTGGAAGACGGAGAAGATTATCAAGCTTGGTTTTGGGGTCACAGCTGTCAGTAGGGATCTGTGCTATTCGCTTTTTGTTTGGGGCTGGGTGAAACGTAGGTGTAGCTAGGAAGGATGGTACTCACGGAAGCCGAAACATGAACGCAAATCCGATGGTCAGCTTGCGCTTGAGAGGCATGAATAGTCCCCAGAGTAGGAACACGGCTAGCCCGAAGATGATCAATTCTGTCGCTATGTCTAATGCGACGATGAATTGCCAGCGTTTGGGCTTGAGAGCAAATTGTTAGTCATATTCTTCAGTAATAAGGTAGTTGCTTGTGGAAGGTGTATATACCAGGTTCACACATTGCCCTCCGGAACCCTTCCAGGGACGATTCAATTCGCAGTTCACCGCGATGATGAAAACGGCCGGTATGACCCATGCCGTGCATAGAGCGAGAGTGGCTATGGAGGCTCGGTTATGCCATTTCTGGGGCGTTAGACGAAGGTAGATGCCGCAGACGCAGCATTTAGAGATGTAGACGGTAATGAGGTAGAGAATGTCGCTGACTGTGATGAGCTAATAATCGTCAGGAAGTAATTAGTATATCTCGCAAGGTGATGGTGAGGCTGTAGTAGACGCACTGTTTGGATTTTATCCACCTGATCCTGTTCCAGAAGGTGGATTGATGTCCCGAAACCATGTGACACAGCGTTAAAGAGGAGTGCTGCTTGCACGGTTGCTACTATCTATATCTCAACCATCCTCGTTAACACAGGTATTCAAGATCCAGATCAATTGACTTACCGTCGCTCCAAGGAGAAGATAATCATCAAATGCAAACGGCGGATGGAGAGCAATTCGCACATACAATCTGATAAAGAAGCTAACGAGAGTTACGACCAAACCCAAAGCCCCAGTGATGATAATCCAAGCTCCATGATGCAAATCATCTACCACTTGAAAAGGGGGGGATTGTCCCGGCGGGACATACGGGCCGCTCATGCTATGGCAGAGGCAGGATGTGTCGATCGCCTCTCGGATCCTGGGAACAGATAAACGAAAGCAAAGACCATCATCTACGAAAAAGCTTCGACCAGGATGGTGGAGATATGCTCTTATACAAGATGGTATTGTGGCCTTTTTGCTTTTCCAGGATGCGCACTCATCGTGGCTGGTTGACTAATTTTTTCTGTGACTGAGTTAGAACCCACGCATGCGATGCAAGATACATGATGCACGTCTAGCGATATGCGTTTCTCTGGGCACACGGACCACATGCCAGGATGATAGTAGCGGGGGGAAAGTAAATTCTCCATGATTAGCCGGACAAGAGGCGTACTCTGGGAGAGATCAGCAGGTCCGTTGCCTCGTCCTGGATTGTCAGAGGATGGGTAATGTGCGTGATTATCTCTACAGCTAATCATCGAGGGGCTAACTTACTGTTTGAGGTAAAACATTGATTGAGAGACCTTGTGAAGACCAGAACCTCTGCCGATCTAGACCGCTAGATCAAGCGCTGTCAAGGGGCTGCATATCAGCCCACGTTTAAGATGACGATCTGTCAGGTGGTACAGATGGGGTTCTGACGCAGCGTGTGGCTATGCCAAAGCAAAAAGCATATTGTCCTACAATGTTATGTTTCCAAGAAGGCTCTGGTGTTTCTAGCCTGCAGATTGGTTCTAACCCTTTGGGATACAAGGATACAGACATGAAAGAACACCCCGAAATCGTGTGGTAATCAATCGAGTTGTCCTTGGCCGGTGTCTCAATTGCTCTCCCTTCCATCCTTGCTTGATCGCGATGGGCCCGAGACTGCGCTTAACAACTTTACAGAGGCATTGCTATTTACGGTAGGCGACAAAGCAAATGCAGTGGTAGTGAGGATCAGTACCAAGATCGACAATCATATTCTTCGCTTAAAGCCACAGGCCCGTGCAACTCATAGTGATGGGCACATGCTCGTGAATCGAACGTGGGAGGTTGCCTTTTCTCCCCGCGGAGACTGGCTGCCTTCCCGTCTGTCCTACCCCTTACTTGGGATTAAAATTGGGAATTCTCATCCCGACACCAAGGACATAGGGAAGCCACCATAAATATCTCGAGGTAGAAGCTCTAGGGCTTTTTGGTATTGTTTGACGGGTCTCACGTTTTGAGTCAAGGCATCAATGTCTTGGATATATCTGTCATTGTGCCCAACTGCGAGCTCGTATAGGGATCCCGAGAATCGCACAAGAAAAAGCAAGCATACTTGATCTGCGCTACGAAGCCACCAATACGCACATACAATTCCAGGATATGTTTCAGAATTGCCTTTATCTAGCATGTCGTGTCCGGCTGAAGATTGTGACGCAGCGCCACAAGAATGCGTTGACACGGATTAATTGATACCCATCTGCCTACCGGTTTAGAGAGAATAACGGCCATTGTCTGTGCCTGTAATCTCGCAGTGTCTATTCCAACTGAGATCATACACCCTTGGTCATTAGTCTTCATCATGGCCCTCGAGAGTGACAACATTGAAAGACGAATATATGTGGAAGGTTCTCAGAATGTTGAGAAAGCACCCAAGGGCCTTGTGGCCCCTAAGTACATGGGTACTATAAGAGACCAGCGCGACATGAGTGCTCTGGGCCGTGTCCAGGTCTTAAGGGTAGGATGCAATGTTCCATGCTATAGCTGCCTTATGCTAATGAAAGATAGCGAAATTTCAGATTCATCTCAATTCTTGGATTCGGCTGTACATTAATCTCCACATGGGAGGTCATCTTAACGTGAGTACTACTACAGAGATTATAGTACATTGGTTAATCTATGAGCAGGCTATTGACCAGTGGACTGACAGACGGAGGGACCGCTGGGTTGATATGGGGCTTTATCATCGTCACAGCCGGCTTCGCGCTTGTCTTTGCCAGCATAGCTGAGATGGCATCTATGTACGTCTTCAAACCCCTTGAGTATTTATTGCTCGGAAAGAGAGACAAAGCATTCTAATAAGTGATGAAGGTCACCAACATCAGGTGGCCAATATCACTGGGTATCAGAGTTCGCTCCTCGCAGGGGACAGAAGTTTTTGAGCTACATAACGGGTATGTCGAGGATATGCGCTGTCCCAGCTTAAGTCTGACAAAGACACCAGGATGGCTGTGTGCAACAGGTTGGCAATGTGCCATTGTGGCCATTGCTTATCTGGCAGGTACAATAATCCAAGGATTGATAGTGCTAAATCATCCGAATTATGAATTCGAGAGGTGGCACGGTACTCTGCTGGTTATCGCTATCACAGCATTTTCCATCTTATTCAACACATTTCTAGCCAAGAATCTCCCTATGGTTGAGGGACTGATACTCATCATTCATGTTGTGGGCCTATTTGCTATCATTATCCCACTTTGGGTACTTGCTCCGCGAAATAGCGCAAAGGCTGTCTTCACCGAATTCTACGATGGAGGCGGATGGGGAAGTCCTGGCACCGCTACTCTTGTCGGCTTGTCTACTACTATTACTTCCATGATTGGATACGATTGCTCTGTTCATATGTGTATGTGCCTCTTACACCATCGAAAGCGTGGTTCTAATACAGAGATAGCGGAAGAGATTAAGGATGCATCAGAAACACTCCCCAAAGCTATGATGTCTGCAGTGGGTGTTAATGGCATTCTTGGATTCATCATGATTGTTACCCTATGCTTTACTCTGGGAGATGTCAACAACATCTTGCAGAGTCCAACTGGATTTCCATTCATCCAAATATTCTACAACACTACCCGCAGCTACGCGGCAGCAAACACTATGGCAGCTATACTCGTCATCACACTGACCGCCAGCACAATCACCGAAGTAGCCACAGCATCCCGCCAACTGTGGTCATTTGCGCGAGACCAAGGACTCCCATTCTCGTCTTTCTTTGCATATGTAAGTACTATTATACCACAGCTACTAGTACCAGTTTTAGTGACTCACGAATCAATGCACAGGTCACTCCCGGCTGGAATATACCTCTAAACTCTGTCCTCGTCTCACTAGTCGTTACTGCGCTTTTAAGTCTCATCAACATCGGGTCCAACCTAGCTCTGAACGCCGTTATCTCATTAACAATAACGTCGCTCATGTCAGCTTACATCCTGTCCATCGGGTGTGTTCTGCTAAAGCGACTGCGCGGTGAAAAGCTCCCACCGCGACGATGGTCGCTCGGCCGGTTCGGGATGGGCATCAATATTGCTAGTCTCGCGTTTCTATTTCCGATATTCGTCTTTTCGTTTTTTCCCCTGACAAAGACTGTGGATGCGCATAGTATGAACTGGAGTGTCGTTATGTACCTGGCAATGGTTGGGTTTGCATCGGTGTATTATTACTTCTGGGGGAGATACCAGTTCATTGCACCAGTGGCATTGGTAAAGAGGGACATTGATTTGAATGACATGTGAGGGCTGAGTGACAGTGTATAGCAGTACGCTTGTTTTGTATATGATACAGTCGTCTAATAACTACCGTGTGTACATACATCCAACGTAAGAACCTTAGATCGAGCGTTCAACCATTTATCTAAAGGAACACGAGTACAAAATGAGCCTCGTTCCATACGCAAGAAAAAAGTCGCAGCCATCTAATGAACATCACTCACTTCCCACCATACTCCCACACAAACAACAACAAGACACTAAAAACCAACTATTACTAGACATTAAAACGGACCAAAAAGCGGCCCAGTCCAGGGTAAACCCCGGCAATTGGGTATCCATCTCACCCACGGAAATGCTACCTGCGTGACCAATGCACACACACAAAAACTAGTAACTACTACCTCCGCGCAAGAAACAACACACACACACACACAATCACAGATCAACCGGAGCTATCTAGTCCACGGAACAAACATGCCAATACTTACATCATCAGACAGGGATGTATTTACCGCTTTCTCAGCCTTGAAACACGGCCAGTCAGTCTCTGTCGGGCACATCGGGACGGAATGAATACCTGATCGGTTACCATCCCTGCCGTGTGTCTGAGAGTGTGTTCTAATGTGTAACCGTGCGCGCGCGGCGTCATAGCCTCTTCAGAAATGGGACGGGTTAGAGGCTTACGGACGATCCAGGAGTGTCGATTACACCTGATATTTATAACAAAAGGTGTAGTAGATTAGAAAAGGACTCATACTTGCAAGATAGAGGCATACCAAACAAGATGAGCAGCGAGAACAACACAAAAAAGTACGGAGACACAACGTACTTTCTAACCCACGCCAACCCATAACAGTAGAGACCGTCGCATCAAAGGAACCCACCCACACACCCGATTTAGTCACTAGTCAATAAATAACTAGCTAGCTAACTGACTAGTTAGTTCTATCTAGTAGATAGTAGCCTCTTCCCGTCCAGCCCCAGAGCCTTGGGTTCTAGCTCGATCAGATAAGCCCCCCTCCCCGCTGGGTATGTGTGCCGAAGGGGGTTGGTTGGTTGGTTGGTTGGGTGATGCTGATTGCGTAACGCGAACCCAGGCAGGCCCAGACCAAGTGTGTCTGTCTGAGGACTCGGCTGACTTTTCCGACCAAAAGAGGGAGCGCAATACTATTCGGCTTTCATCTGCTGCTACATCGGACTCTCCGACGATAGCATATTCTGTCTGTGTGTGTGTGCCACCCCCTTACAGGATAAACATGAGCCAGAGGCAAATGTTTGTATGAATGAGTGAATGCACGGGGCCACTCGTAACTCCGTAATTCCGGAGTCCGCTGCATCATATTGTGTAATCTGATCATACAGCTAGTCTCTTCTTCCTCTCCTAATCTTCATTCTTCCCCAGCCCGCTATGGAGAACGACGGGTCATGCCAAGTTCCAGAACGTTTTGGTGTGGTGCTAGTTGTGTTCTGGAAAGTGAGGAGGAGCTATTGAATTTAGCGCTACTGATGATGGTGTTATTATTGGGAATTATGAGCAGCTTTCGCTGGGAAAAAGGGCAATGTACTCCGGCGGGAAAGGAGGTTCCCCTTTCATTTTAATACATTACTCAAGGAGGTAAAATTCATATCTGATTGATTGATTTGATTGATATGGTGAACGCGTCGGCCGATGTCGGAATGTGCCCCACTCGGAGGCCCGGGTGACCTGTCACATGCGGTTACACGGGTTCTGGTGAACGAATGGCTTTGTTTGTCATAATGTATACGGTGTGGATTGGTT